GGCGAGGCAGAGGCCTCCGGCCGCAGGGCCCGTTTTCCCTCCAACCCCCACCCCACTCCAGGGCCGACATCCAGCCGCCGGGTCCATTTCCCCCCACCCAACCCCACACACTCCAGGGCCGGTGACTGGAGGTGCAAGCCTCCGGCCACCGGGTCCGTTTCCACCCCCCACTCCAGGACCAGAGACAGGAGGCAGAAGCCTCCGGTCGCCCGCTCCCTTCCCCTCCCCCACCACCCACTCCTGGGCCGGCAACTGGAGGCCGGGTCCGTTCCCCCCCACTCACTCCAGGGTCAGCAACGGGATGCAGACGCCTCTGGCCGCCGCCACCGTTCCCCCACCCCCCTCCCACCCTCACCCACTACTGTTTACCTTACCACCATCAGCCTAAGCGTTCGTTACAGACCACATCTTTCTAGATCCCGTTGTATCAGTTTCACAACGGGCTTTTCTGCTAGTTAAACATAATGGTTAAGCTAAAAAACTGAGAACAGGCCACAGAATCGTGTACTTCCTCTCCTTGCAATCTATTCCCAAAGTAAAAATTCCCCCTTCTGCTTTCACTGTATTTAAGGACTGAAAAAAATTACAGAAAGTAACTGTGCATGAGCCAAGCCAGGTTTCTAAAGTGGAGCTTGCGATGGAGCTCATGCTTCAAAGCAACACTCCTGTCACTGAGCTACCATATATATTCAACTCAGATTTTTATCGGCTTTCCAGGACATGGTGGTTACAAAGACCATACAAACTAGTTTGTCTCAAATTTGAAACTGTGGTTCAAGTACGTGTAGGTCATTCCAAGGCTCAGTCCCTAAGATCTCTGATTATAAAACAAAGCAAGGAAAGACCTCAGGAAGCTATTGCTTGCTAGGGTAAATAAGAGCTACAGGAATCAGTTGATTTCGGGTAATGCATGCCTTATAGTCTAAGCATACAAATGTGGCAGTACCACTTTTTTTCACAGTTCATATAATCACACTGCTCATCTCCTTTTGTGACAAGGACTTAGAAATAACAGAGATGAATAAAGAAAAGCCAAGAATGGGAGACACTCCGCCAGGTTACTGGAAATAAGTTTCATTTTCTACTTCAAAGCACAGTAGGGCAACACTTATGAGAAAAACAAAAAACAGCTATGAGAGCTGGCAAAATGCTATGACATTTAAATACTGACATTTTGACACTTGTATAGTGAATTGAGTTAAGCTGACACAGTTCAGAAGACTCTTTCTTGATTTACCTTCGCCATCCTCTGTCTATAAGATCTTGATAATCTTGCGCAGTCATTGAATGTGCCCACATGCCTGGAACAAACATTCATACAAGACAGTGAAATAAACCTTCCTTTTAAATACCAATGTGATAGTAAAGTGAGAGCCAGTTTGGTGTAGTGGTTAAGTGCGCGGACTCTAATCTGGAAGAACCGGGTTTGATTCCCCACTCCTCCACTTGCACCTGCTGGATGACCTTGGGCAAGCCATAGTTCTGAAAACAGCTGTCCTTGAAAAAGAGCAGTTTCTGTGAGAGCTCTCTCAGCCCCACCTACCTCACAGGGTGTCTGTTGTGGGGAGGGGAAGGGAAAGGAGTTTGTAAGCCGCTCTGAGTCTCCCTTGGGTAGTGAAGGGCGGGGTATAAATCCAACCTCTTCTCTTCTTCTAAAGGCAGTTGCTATGGAAAGCTGCTGGTATAAAAGACACCAGTGCGTCTCCAAAACAAAAGTTTTAGGAACTGATATTAAAAACATATAAAACTCAAACCTTTCATGACAAACATTGAAACCACTTAAATTCTTAACATTTATCGGATCATTTGTTTCCCACACACACACACAGGCAGAGACTAAACAACAACCAGGTCCACTGACTGTGCCACTGCCCATTAGGCCCACACTGCTAACAGGCAACTTTAGACTCTGGGCTAAATGAGGGATTCCCAGATGGCAAGACGGGGACAGCAAAGAATGAGATGGTTAGACAGTGTCATAGATGCAACGAACATGAAATTGAGCCAACTTCAGAGGACAGCGGAAGACAGGAGGGCCTGGCGGGAGCTGGTCCATGGGGTCGCGAAGAGTCGGACTTGACTGTGCGACTGAACAACAACAACAACGGCATAGCTTTAGCCTGCTTTTTGGAATCTTCTTGCTGACCTTGTGAGCCTCAGCACTGGATCTGCTTCTAATACTCACATGTAAATAAATACAGGTGGCCTTGCCTCCTGGCACTGAGAAGCAGGATGGCCGAGAAGATCACGCAGCAATGGTTTAAGACTGAGAGCTTCAGAATCCACCCCACACCTTCTCTCTTTTCTTCCCCCAACTAGGCCTCTGCCTGACTAGTCAGTCCTTACTGAACTGCCACCAACACCACCATCCCCCCCACTTTTATTGGCCCCTGTCTCTCCCAACCTACCACTGTCCCACAGACCACTCCCTGCTGGCCTCTATTGATGACATTACACCAACTGCCCAGTGACAGCATGGGAGCTTTCTAGTTCAGTTACCCAAAGAAGTCATGAAAACTTTGGAGGGAGGGGGTGAAGAAAAGTGGTAGGCCTGATTATATCTGGATGCAAGATTTCTATTTATTTATTTATTTTTAAGAAAACAGCTCTCCAGTTTTCAATCAAATATAGCCGCGCCGGGCAGAAGACAAACCTACGGGCGAGACAGTAAATAACATGCTCCGCCGCCAAATCCTTGCTGCTCTTTGACTATTTCCCAGAGCCCGGCCACCCGGCTTACTCCCCGACGCACTTGTCCAATAACAGTCACCCCAAACCTCCGCCCTCAACCCCATCGCGATCCCCACCGTAAGAGAAGTTGCCCGTATTGTTCTTGCAGTAGCCACAGCGGTAACCGTCTTCCCCTCCGAAATACTCCACGATACTGGGGGAACTTGCCCCCATCGCCGCCATCTTTGCAAGCTTCTGACAGCACCCCGCCGGCAGCCCTTAGAGACCCTTTAGGGGCTCCCGGAAGAAGCAACAGCAGCTGCCGCCGCCATCTTAACGAAGGGCAAAAGTGTGGGCGGGGCAAAGACGGAGCTAGTTTCCCGAGGCCAGTTCCTGATGTAAGTCGGCGGACCTGACAATTCCCCCTTTGCGGGAAGGAGGCAATGCTAACGCTTCCGCCCAGGCTTGCGGTGTTCTAAGATCGCTTGTGCCCTTTACATTTTGAAGGGGAAAAGCACAACAGTGATTAGATAAGGGTCCCCCAAATCCCCCCTAGAAAGATAAGTAATAACACTTTGTTGGTCTGAAGGATGCCACTGGACTCGAACTTTGTTCTATTGCTTCAGACCAACAGGGCTGCCCACCTTCCCCCAAACAAGCCCCATAACTTTTCGGTTAAAGGGTATCTCTATTCCGAATCACGCAGAGAAAGAGACCGGCGCTCAACGCGGCGCCTCCCCCACTCCCACGCGACCTTTTACGTGGGGTTTCCCAACCAGTAATCACTATCCTTGCCCCTCAGGTCAGGGATTCTAAGGGGAACCGGAAGGGCGAGGGTGACGCGGGACGCTTCTTCCTCTACGGGGGAAACAGTGTGGCACAGGGTAAGAAGCGTTAACTCCGCCATCTTTATTGAGGTCAAGTCACCTCAAAACTTTTAGCCTGCCACATTGAGGAGGGGGCGAGCAGCCGCGCCAGTGTTAAGTGGGCTCCTCAGGGGAAAGCAAACGGGCAACGCGTGGATCTTCTGCCATCTTTAGTGAGGGTTTCTGGGAGCGAGAGACGACGAGACAGCCAGCTGGTGGCCGTGGCCGCTGCTCAATAACGGTGCGTATTCGGGAAGGTGCAGTCCGAGCGCAGTTGTGGGTCATGAGGATTTGCTGCCTTAAAGAATCAAGCGACCCTATCCACCGCCACCACCACCCGGTCACTTACCATAGGATACTTTCGCCTGGGCAGAGTTACAGTAGCCGCATCGGTAGCCCGTCGTCTTCCCTTTATATTCCACTATGGAGTACATGGTGCCCGGCAGCCTCCCTGCTTCCCCGGTTGGGCTGCTGGAGTCCCGGCTGGAGAACCCGCTGAGCTGTGGCCGCGTTTTCTTCACAAGCCCTCCCCTCCCCCCAGAGCTGGGAAACCCACCCGGGGAAGCCTTCCGCTCCGGCCCCTGGTGACCGTTGGCAACCGCCTCTCCCGGTCCGGAAGCCTCCTCGTGCCGCGGCGACGGCCGGCCTTCCCTCGCAAGCCCGGATTGAGCGACCAGTTGCGCAAGGCAGACTGGCTGCCATCGCCTCCCTCCTCCGCGGGTTCACGGCCCACATGCAGCTAGGTGGCATGCACATATCGCTCTCCTTCTGCAGTCATTCCATTGCTGCCCATCAATCCCCAGGCTCAATTTAAGGTACTATCACTTAAAAAGGCTTTCGTGGCCTTGGTCCCGCTTTATCTGCGGGAGTGCCTCTCTCTCTTCCTGCTCTGCCACAGATTCACTCATCCCAGCAAGGCTTTTCTGCAACTAATGAAATTATCCAAGAGGGCTTATGCACATGTAAATAGAACTGTACTGTAATGAAATGGGTCAGAAAGCTGTCTTGGTAAAGGGACAGGGACTGTGACCTACATCACCGAAGAGATCAGGGCCCTGTGGGACCTTGCACAGTTCTGCATGGGCTGCAAGACGGAGCTCTTCTGCCAGGCTTTTAAATAGGAGCCGCCACCACCGTTACCACCAACTATTCCATTGAACATCGGGAATGGGACTGGCCCACTATCGACTATGCCATTTAATATCTGGACCATAGGACTGGCCGTAAGATCAGGAGATTGCCGGAATGGAAATTCACACCATCTATGTTAATACTGTGAGCACCTTAAATGTTATTGTTGTAATGTTAAGAATATTTTATATTATTTTAATGTTTTATGGTTTTATGCTAATTCGGCATACTTTGCCGTCTTCTGTAAGCCGCCCAGAGCCTGTTTATGGGGTGGGCGGGATATAAATATAAGTATAAATAAATGTATAAATAAATAGCTACTTATCACTCCAGACTAGGTAGTTTCTACACCAGGGGTGGCCAAACTTGTTTAATGTAACAGCCACACAGAATAAATGTCAGATGCTTGAGAGCCACAAGACATAAATATCACACATGCACATTTTTATTGAAAAATATGCAAATTCGCTTTTTATAAACATTAGACTGCGTGAAAGAGCTGTATGTGGCTCCCGAGCTGCAGTTTGGCACCCCTGTTCTACACTAATTGGTGATGTATCATGTTTAAAAGATCATGCTTGTTTCAGCACTATTTGAAATTTGTTTTTCCGGATTTCTGAAGTCCAAACCCCTACTGTATTGTTCACTGCATGTCCCATCCTGTTGACTGTTCCTGACATGCACTATGAAATCCACCTTGAGTTTCAGCAAGAAAGCCAGACAATAACCAAATTAAAAATAAGACACTCTTTCTCTTTCAAGCTCATGTGTTCTTGCATCGAAAGAAAGAAAAAAAATCAAGTTTAACTTAAACAATTGTTGTCAAATGCTCCCTGCAATAGGGCAGTGGAATTTAAGATGTCATAGGTCACAGTTATCTGAACATGCTGGAGAAACAAGGAATTTTTAATGAAAGATCCATACTGGGAAATCAGGAGGCAAGTGTTCCACGCCAGACACAAACACACACTGCAGTAGATTACCAACAATACTCTCCCCTGGTAGAATCTATCACTACTTTGTCATAGCTATATGAGCATAGACATTAAGGATATTGCAAAGTATGATGCCCCTGTCCACTTCTCTCCCTCAGAGGCAAGATTTGCCTTCCATTTTTCTTCCTCTTTTGCAACTGAGCTGCCCTAGTTGTTTGTTTTCTTCTTTCGTGAAGAATTCTGGCTGCTCCACCCTGTCACGGTATATTTTGGCTGCTTGCTCAGACCAGGAATCTGAGGGAAAGAATGGGAGGCCCTTTAACTTATACAACTTAGATAGCAATTGAGAAGTGTTTATATTCCAAATTAACAAAATACTTTATTCAACATAGAGGGGAAAGGTCGAGTGATATCAGGGGTAAAATTTCTGAGGTAGCTCTAAATAACTCTGAAATACTTGGTGGTATTTGATAATAACTCTGAAGTAGGGGTGTGCAAAAAAAAAAAAAAAATTCGGCCCAATTGGGATTCGGCCGAATCGGGCAGAATAAATTTAAGCCGGTAGAAAGACTCCCACATGTACATTTCGACAGTACAAGCCTATTGGGGAGTCTTTCAGCCAGCCGAATGTCAATTTCGGCCCCATTATATCCTATGGGCCATTGAAGGCAATGGCAAAAACACAGGGTATATTCTGGGGGCTGGAGGGGAGAGAAAGGCTCCAAACCCGCAGGGTAGCTGCTGGAGCCTCTCCCCAAGATACCCACCAAGTTTCAAGAACATTGGACCAGGGGGTCCAATTCTACAGGCCCCCAAACAGGTTGCCCCCATCGCCTCCATTGTTCTCTTTTCCCCCACCGTGAAGAACAATGGAGGGAATAGGGGCAACCTGTTTGGGGCCCGTAGAATTGCAGCTGTATGCTGCAGCTCTTCTAAGTTACTTTTTTCCCACCATTTATTCTGTTTGCAGTTACACATCAGTCAAGAGGTACTGCATTTATTTGTTTTAAATATCTACCACAATCTTATTGAGAGGCACCATTATTTTTAATCTATATTTACACTCCACTGTTCTCCCCAATGGGACCCTAAAGAAGCTTCCAGGTCTCTTCTCCATTTTACTCACACCGTGTGAGGTAGGTTAGGCTGAAAATGTGTCTGGCCCAAGGTCACCTAGCAAGCTTCCATGACAGTCTCCTAGATTGTAGTCTGACATTTTAACCGCTATAACCACCTTCTGATTACATTAGAGACAAATTTGTTTTATTCCTGTATCAATGCATCTGGAGCAGGCAACATTTTTCTCCCACGTGCAGAAAGTTTAAAGGTTTCTGTAATGATTCCTTGTTTTTGGTGTGTGTGTGTCTCTTTAAAAGTTTGGTTGCATGGCTGTGGTAAGTAGACTAGAGTGGTTGAGAGAAGCAAGCGTGGTATGATTGGTGGTTGACAGAGAGGGGGTGGGGGTTTAGAAGTGAAAATGAGTGGATGAGTATGTATGTCCGTCAGGAGTGACAGTTACAGGTTTGACAGTTGATAAGTTCAGAGAGTTCTGTGTGGGGAATGAGAGAGACAAGCAGTTAGTTCTGTATGTGAGGAAAGTGAGAAACGGAAGGAAGGCTGAGAGAATAGAAAAAAATAAATGAAAGTAATTGAAGACAAAGTTTAGGAAAGGCTGTATGTCCTGGAGAGAAACAGTGAACTTACATGACCTTGAGTTAAAGTGTTACAAAGTTACCTGAAAGATCCCTGACAGTAAGGAAGCAGATTGTGTGTGATACACCAAGCAATTGTTCATTTATACACATCAATAGTTACCTTGTTCTACCCTTTTATTTATGAATTATTTCAATAAATCCTCTTTTATTCAAGTATACCAGCTCAGAAAGAAATACTTCCTCAGGACTACATAGTTCCCCATAAGCCTTGAACTCGGACTACCTAACTAGTAAGAGTAACAGTAAAGTATAACGGTTTGGAAAGCCTTAAAATTTCCTGGTGGCAGCCGTTTATACCCAATAGACCAAAATAAAAAGAACACTTTTAAAGGGAACCCAGTCCTCCAGAATAAGGGGGGCGTCACAGTTTCCCTTGCTCGAAAGGTTTACTTGCATCCAAAAACAAGTGAAATGATGGTTGTAGTGTAGGTGGCCAAACATGGCAAGCTGAGCACCACTTTCAGCACCTCAGAGCGGGATCCAATGTCACCTGCATGGGCACGGGAGGTAGTGAGAAGTGGTAAGACACATCCACTGCCTTTTCAGTTGCCATCAGCCCAAGCAGCACTGCAAGCTCCGTAAGGCCTCTCCTTGGTTTCTTTGGCAGAGACTTGGCCCTATATGCCAAGCAAAATAATCTGGCATGCCACTGTTCAGTACACGTGTTGGCGGTAGCCTACCTTTCCTATACTCATTTTGCAACATCATGAATTTGAATCCTGTATTTAGACCCCTATGTCCACCAGCAGTAATTTACCTTCCATTTCATTGGTTTTTAGGTAATTAATATAATCTTCAAAGACATCAGAGCAAGATACCTCTGTTTTCCAGCATAAGCTTCTGCAATTCAGAGAAATTTTCACCCTAACCAGCCTTTTTCCTGTAAAACCCCCCGCCCCAATCTTCCTCCTGTCTGAGCCATAATTTCATCTGCCTACTGGATGAACACTTTTCATGTATCTGTTAAAGCGAGAGCCAAATTACAATTTGTGAGTCTTTAAAGGATGCCAGTGGACCTTTTATCTTTCCACTTCAGACCAGCACAACTACCTATCTGGAAATCACAAACGTGTTTTAAGGACATTGGTACGACAAAAGTAATCTACTGCATTTTAAATATCCACAACCAAAAAAATCAAGTGTTCATTTTTGTATATGTAGGACCTAAGTCTTTTTCAGGGAGGGGTTATATAAAAAATAGAATAGCATCTTTTGATCATAATTATAAAATTGGTACACAAAGGCTGGTATGAAATGCATCCGAATTTGATGGAAACGTTATTAACTGAGGACTTAAAGATAAATGAAACACAGATTAAAACATGCTGCTGTTTCAATTGCAATTTTGCATGTACTAATCTTTCCCTGATGATGGGAAAGATTGAAGGTAACAGAAGAAGGGGATGGAAAAAGATGAGATGGTTAGACAGTGTTACCGATGCAATGAACATGAAATTGAGCAAACTCCGGAGGACAGTGGAAGACAGGAGATCTTGGCGTGATGTGGTCCATGGGGTCACAAAGAGTCGGACTCAACTGTGTGAATGAACAACAACACCACATACTAGGGCTAAGCCAATATAACTGATTAATCTATATTGTTTATTTTGCCAGTTGTAACAATGAAAGTGTCTCTAAACATTTATTATCAAATACCACCAAGTATTTCTGTATGGGCTACAATTTGTACAGGAATGTCAGTTTTCTTTGTTATCAAGATGGAGGAGTCAGGAAACAACTATTAGCAGCTACTTGGAAGGGTAGGAAATAAAGAGGAAACTAATGTGATGCTCGTGTCATTTGACTACGCTCCACTCCTGAGGAACTGGTAAGGCAAAACCAGGCTCCCTGCTCCTTTAAAAAAACTGGAACAACTTAAATGGTTCTTTGAGCAATCAGAAAGACACCAGTCACCAAAGCAAAGAGCAAGGGGGGAAAAGCTGATGGTACAGTGGGAAAGAG